TCCTTTAATAGGAGGTAAAGACTAGGCTGCCCATGCACAACAATGGACGTGGAGAGGAGGTACAGGACAAGGAGATTCTCTGCCCTATATAAATGAAGCTGACGTGTCTGCTGCGCTTGGAACTCGCTCCCTGCCATCTTTTAAATGGGTGTGTATGTGTAAAAGAGAGGAAAAGAGAAGCTGAAGGAGAAATGAGAGGCAGCTAGCACCTATGGAATAGGGAAATTGGAGTTTGTAGGTCAACGTAGCTTCGTTCAGTGGCTTGTGACACTGCATGACTGCACTGAAAATAATGCAAAGGCAGCATACCTGGGATACCTGAGCAGCCAAAATGGTATTGTCTGGGTCAGGGGACTGAATGCCTCTTAATTCACAAGGTCAAACCTGTGGGCCTGAAGCATTTCAATGGGAAAGACAGCAAAGGTGAGTTGGCGTTGTTCAGCTTGGGGAAAGAATGCTCTGGGGAGACCTTAGAGAAACTTCCAGTACCTAACAAGGCCTACAAGGAAGCTGGAGAGGGACTTTTTACAAGGGCACGTAGTGATAGGACAAGGGAAATGGCTTTAAACTGACAGAGGGGAGATTTAGATTAGACATTAGGAAGAAATTCTTCCCTGTGATGGTGATGAGGCCCTGGAACAAGCTGCCCAGAGAAGTTGTGGCTGCCCCATCCCTGGCAGTGTTCAAGGCCAGCTTGGACGGGGCTTGGAGCAACCTGCTCTAGTGGAAGGTGTCCCTGCCCGTGGCAGGGGGTTGGAACTGGATGAGCTTTGAGGTTCTTCCAACACAAACCAGTCTGGGATTCTATGATCAGATTTTTGGCCTGGCAGGGAGGGTGCTTATGGTAAGACCCCAAAACTGTCTTTGGACTGGAAATTAAGCGTAACAGGAGTGTATGTGCTGAACTGCACAGCAAGGCTGTGAATACAGCAGGAGGACAGAGGAAGTTAGATTGTCTCTATATGGTACTTGAACTCTGTTAAGAAAAAATGAGTATGCACAACATGAAACTATGCATATAGGAAGGACTATATGGATCCTGTTGTTTTTGAAAGCCTAAGTCTATGGAAAGATAAAAGAAAACTGGCATTATTCGGGCCAAAAAATACATAGATTTCCCACCCTGGAAAAAATGGCTTTCTGAATCATGAACTGGGTTTAGTAAGCGGAGAAGGGCGACTATACAACAGTGAGGGTTGTGAAAGCAAGGGACATCTCAAAACAGAGAAAGTATATGGATATGCCATGAACAGAAGCTAAACCATACCTAAAGAAAAGGTGAGGCAATACTTAACAGGGCTGTGGGAATCACGAGCAAGACAAGGAATACATTTTTCCAAGAGGAATATGATTCCTCTTCAGAGGCTTTGGGAGTGGGGGAGAGAGGGCTATGGCTGGACTACCCCATGTGGAATTGTTCTGATGAGAATAACCCACATTTCCTTTCTACCAGTGCAGCTCAAGGGTGCAGGGGGAGCATTCATCTCCCAAAGGACAGCCTGTCCTTGCAGCTATTCCTGTGCTTCCTGCCAGGGCAAAAGATATTTGGAAGACTTTATCGTCATTCTTTCTTTGTTCTCCAAAGCTGCAACTGGGGATTTATTTTCCGATGCATGCTGCAGAGGTGCATCTGGTTCTCCACACAGGCATGCAAAGGAGTTATCAGCAGTGGTGGTTTCCTCTTCCTGTTTGCAAGAAGTGTAAGCGACTGGGTCTTTCCAAAGGCAGGGCAAAGAGGGAAGTGGTTATTGATACTGTGCTAAGAGCAGAAACAAGCTCGTGAGAAGGGTCCGTATGTTGTCAGAGCAGCTCTGCCAGCAGTGAACCGCTGGGTGTTGTTTGGTTATGTATAGGAATGTTGGACTCCTGTTTACCATGAAGTACAAAATTGGGTAAGGGATCAGGAGCCTGAGGGTCATGCATGCTGTGCATGTGAAGGCCACTTCATTGTCCTAAAGGGCAGTGAATCAATTCAGAATAAATTCCTCTGAATAAATTCAGAGGGAAAATAAGACACAAATCCCATCTGGCAACTTCAGATTCAAATAGTTTTTATATAGGTAGATTGGGGAATTCTCCTGCTTCCAAGTATGTAGAACCAGGCTCCTCCAGGGGTGGGTAAGGCCTGCATTCATGCACTGCATTTCTGGACATGGTATCAAACTGTATGCAAGCTGCAAGGATTCAACTGAAGCACATTTGTTCGGAGGAAAAAGAAGACAGCTCCTGAAGTGTGCAAAGTGTAAGATCAGTCAGCAGGCAGGAGGCTATCAGACCTTTTCTCCCGCAGGCTGGAGTTGGTTACGTGATGGTGTCCTCAGTGTTCCTTGCCTCTTGCAGCATGCTGGCTGTGCTGCTGAGCTGCAACGCCAAGTGGCGTGATGCTGGCTGTGCCCAATACAAGCCTGGAGGAGAAGCCTAAGCGACAAATGCAGAGGAAGTCAGCCCTAATCTCTAGGCAGTGTAAAAATCTTAACGAAGTTACTAAGTATGGAAACGCGGCGTCATTTCAGCAGGCGTTGCATAAGGTTGCCATACTGGCTGCCTCTGCAGAGCTGCAGGCTCAGAGCCTCAGCATAATAACACCGACAGATTTTTAAGGGCAGGTTTCTGGTTCTCCTGTAAGGAGTCCTGTAAAACACACACATGGATACAGGGCAGAGAGCAAAGCAGCACATGTGCGTCATGCATTCCTTGTCTCCTGTTCCAGCTCTGATCTGCTGGAGTGATTGCAATTAGTAAACTGGAGCTACATACTCTCTGGAGGGCTGTAGAAACCATAATCATGTATCTACTGGCTGCCACAGACACTCCCTCATCTGCCTGCAGAGCATGGACTCAAAGAGAAATCAATTTTAGTGAGGGGTGGCTCACAGACAGCCCTGCTATGGGGTGGGGGATATGTCCTGCCAATCTCTCCAGGCTTTGGCTGAGCTGAGTACGGGCTGCTGCCAGGTTTAAGCAGAATTTGCAATGGCTCTGAAAGAACTGGAGATGGTCGCCCTGTGGCTGCAAAGGGGGATCAGTTTGGGGAGGAGAGGACAGTTTTGCCCTGCACAGCGAAGCCACATGCTCATACGCTCACACCAGTTATACTGTTTTCCATGGCTCAGCTGAGACCAACCGGTTGCCATCTCAGGTACAGATTTGATCCATCAAAGGAAAGACTGTCCTGCTCACTGGGCTTTCCTGCCTCTAGTTATCCCCATCCCCAGTCTGGCAGGTCCACCTGATCTGAAGGTATCTACTATGTTGTGCTGCTTCCCAAATCAGAGCAGTTCCTTGCATGCAGTTACCAGTAAGCTCTGGAGAACAAAGCAGCACTTCAAGCAGGACCTTACACTGCCTGCCAGGCTGGAGCTTCTTATTTATACAGCCCATCAAAGTGCTTGCTCAGGAGGTGAGAGGCAGATGCTCTCATGAAGGTGAGGAGTCTGGGCTACCCACTGTCTCATGAAATCCAAGATGAAGGTCTTAATTATCCACACTACTTCCAATGTGGCATGAGCCCTAACTCCCAACAGGGAATAGCATCCACGTCACTCAGGCACCAGCTATAAGCACAGACAAGTCTTGGTGGCCAGTCACCACCAAGGCTGGCGTGCTCAGCCCTCCCTGCCAGGCAGGCTGGGACCTGCAGTGTCTGAGCTGGGGAGCTTCCCGATTCGTGTCAGTGCAAGTGAAAAGAAAACTCCTTGGGGAAGGATGTGCACATCCACATGCCAACGCTGGCTCCAACAGACCAAGCAGAGATCGGGTGCTGCTAAATCTGGGTATCAGTGGCCAAGAAAAGGAAAAAAACCCATACACTAAATGATTAAAAATGGCACATCCCAAATCCTGAATCTTCTATCAGCAGAGCACAGCCATGCTGGATGTGGAACTTCACCCATGCTCAGAACCTCACGAGAATCAAGCACCAAACATTCCTTGCATTGAGTGGCTGGACTATAAATTTACCCAGTAATTGAAGGCCAACAATTAACATCCACAAGCAGAAACCACCCTGCTACACAGGTTCCTGCCTGCCCAAGTTCTCTGCAGTGTTTAACAGATGCTGTATCACAGCAAGGGTGGGTTTTTTCTGCTGCCACACTCCAGCACCAGGGAATTTACTCATCTACCATGGCTCTGCTGAGCACAAACCCCAGGAGCCAGGCTGCCACTTGCTGTCAACAACCCCAACCAATATCCCCAGCATACACACCCTGCTCCAGAGCACCAGGGGCACCTTCCCCACACCAGCTGCTCAGCTAACCTGGGAGTAGGGCTTTAACAAACTCATCTCCTCCTTGGTAAAAAGCCAAATTTACATTCATACCTAAGATTTGACTCCTTGGAGGCAGCCTGGAGATGTCTCCAAGTCCTTCACATGGACATTAACAAGAGTAACCCCACCCATTCGGTCCAGTTCATCTAGAATACAAGGGCAGTTCCTACCCCAGCCCCACCACCCTGAGACAACAATCACACCCCCTCATTTTGGGCATCTGCTGACCAACACAGAGATAAGAAACCCTAAGTGCCAGTTCAGCAGTGCCACTGCCTGCTCCACAAGCTCTCAGCAAGCTGCTCATTCCTTAAACTCATGTTCACAGCTACTGAGTTTTCCCATTATGTTTTACATTCCCACTCACCTCCTTCAGAATGTTCAGTTCTGGCAATTCTGAACCTTCCACCAGTCTTACCTTCAATGAACTCCCGAAGATAAAATTCTTTAACGGGACTACACCTTACTACGGGAAAACTTAGAGCACCTCAATATAACACCCCTCATGGTGGTACACGCATCTATTGTGCAAATTGTAGCAACAACCCACATCAGTCATCCTCTAAACAACTTCAAAGCACATTCAACATCCACACCGCCTCCATCACCCAGCAGAAGCACCTCAGTGTCACACAGCATTCTATGAAGACATGAGTAATCCGGTATGTCTGTGTTTACACCTAGGTGTGGTGCACCCATTTCACAGGTAGCCAGTTACCTCACACTGTAATTTAAAGTTTATTATAAAATAATTTATTAGACAGCAATACACAGCCTTAGCAGCAAGCTTATATACATGCACATAAAAACTGCTGACTACCCTACTCAGTGACTCTAGCTCTTTTGCCCTTGGCCTTGCGGACCTCTTCAATCAGATCTTTTAAGTACTGGATTTCCTTACTAAGGGAATCTGCCTTCTCCTTCAGGGCCTGATTTTTCTGCTCTAACTCTCTGCACTCCCCAGAGAGTGCCTCCTGTTCTGCCCTCTTCTTCTGCCGGTAACGTGTGGCAGCTGTCTTATTCTGCTCCATCTTTTTCAGTTTCTTATCTATTTTCTTTTCTCCCTTTATCTTCGCTGACACTACCCTCTCTGCAGGATGATCATAGGGTTTGGCCTGCACAGAGCCACAGCTGGTTTCTGCAGGGAACCGGCTGTCATTGGGGGATCCAACTGAATTGGTAGGGCTATGCTGGGGTGTTCCCAGGTAAGAGTCTGGGCTCATGCATATTCCACTATCATCGGAATGGTTCTCCTCCTCTTTCTCAGACTTGGTGATCACTACCACAAAGGCAGGGCCCTCCTGTTTTCTTTCACCTTCCAAAACATCCACTTCACTACCCAGTTCTAAGCTAAATGAGTGGTCTGGAGTGGAAGTCAGAGACCCTGGGGAAAGGGGAAAAGACCAAAGGGAAGCCAATGGGGCCACTGGATCTACTCCAGTGGGTGATTCAGGGAGATGGGTGATTAGGTCTGTTATCAGTGGAGGTTCTTTGCTGTGGAATTCTGGGATGGCAGGGTTAAATAGGAGATCACACGTGTCTTCCAACGTGGCCATCAGCTCGTCTGGCGAGACGGTGGCTTCCAGATGTTCCACACCTAACAGGGCATCAAAATCAAATTCCTTCAGATCCATCTTCTCCACCATCCACTCCATGCCAGAGAAGGCATCCTCTGCACAAAAAAAGAATTGCCATTTCAGTAAACCAGTTCAGGCATCTGAATATAATCTAGCAGCTCATATTTAACACCCAACTTCTCCCTCACATGGAAAAAATAAATTAAAAAAATCTGCCATTTAACTGCAGAACACTGCAGGGTACAAGGGAACCTGCCAGCATCCCAGCATTCCATTCCCCTTACTCCAAGGCCAGAATAATTCAGGGCCATTTGAAACACACTGCCACACTTGGTTCTTGTGACCTCTGCTGGGGAACAGCACTGTAACTGTGTTATTAAAAGAGCAACAGAAGTGTCACTTTACCATACACCAGCCCCATAACTAGCATTTCTGAACTGTGTAAGCAGTGTAGTACACATTGTTTCAAGCAGAGGTATGCATGTGAGGTTGCCTTTACATTTACAAAAAAGGCTAGCTATTCCCCACCCCACCATTAGAACATTACACACCATTTTAACTGCTGCATTAAGTAACAAACACCTTACCCTGGCTGCTATCTATGGTGTTGCCTAAACTGTCCACAGCAAGCCAATTGGAGGAGACTGCCTTAGCCTTGTCGCTGGAGAACCCATGCGAACCGAGGGGCTCGGCCACCTCCAGGTAGTCATCGAGGAGTCCCAGACTTTCCTCAGCCACCGAACACGGCTGGCTGAAGGGGGATAATAAATCCCCCAACAGCATCTCGTTGTTCAAGAGGCTCATCTTCGTCAGTTTTTAATGCTTTGATGTCAAAGGATGCAGACAAGTAGAGGGCTTTGTTGTCGACTACAGCAATGCTGCTGTGCGATGCCTTGAAAAACCTGCGAGTGAAACTTAGATCCATCAGTACTTGTTTGACCGATACAGTGTGTCTTTACAAGCAGTACCCCCCACTTCGGGAACTGCGGTTTACATGCAACCCAACATCTTTACCCCTTCCATGTCTCCCCTCAAGCTCCCGCTGCCGCTTCTCCCACCGAGGGCCGCGCGGCTTCCTCATGCCCAAATATGGGCACGGCTGCGCCGGCACCGCCCACCCGCCGCCATGACTCACGCGCCCATGCCAGCAGCCGCGGCCATTTCGCGATCCTGCCGCGTCCCACACCTCCCCACCCCGGCAGCGGCCGCCATTTTGTATCCTGCCACGTTTCCACCCGCGGCTCCAGCGCCTCGGGCTGCACAGGGCTGAGCCGAGCCCAATGCCGACGTGGGAGAAGACTGCGGAGCCCTCTGGAACAAGCCAACGTAGAACCGGGCGTTTGTGTGGCAAAAAGTGTCACACCCGCCACCTTCTACTGCAATCTCCGTATCAGAAAACCCTCCGGAGACTTAAGAGCTACAACATTAAGTATTACAGCACTGCTGCCAGCTTATGAACAGCCCCCATTTATCCACTCGGCACGACATATCAAATGGTACCTCCTCTGTCAGGAGCCCCCATATCCCCCCAGCTACAGCAGCGTCCTCCCTCGCGGGTTAGAAAAACCTCCCTACGGATAAGCTACTTTTATGGTCACGGAAACCTAATGAAATGGGTAAATCCCGAACTTTTAACAATCGAGCTTTCTCGAAGCATGAGTACGACATCGGAATTTCCCGTCATTTCTTTTGAAGCAGCATTTCCTCCCATTTCTGACACCCTCCGCTCTGGGCACGTTGAGCCCCACAAGGACACTCTTCACCCCGATACTTTTTTTTTCCCGGGTGATACCATCCATTACCGTGTGATATAACACCCCACTCCCAGCCCCCTTAAGGCGAGAAGCAGGCGACTATCAACACCCGTAAGAGGAATTCCCCGTCCCTCACACACAATACTCACGCCATGGTTGCAGATGCCGGGGGTGTGCTGAGGCCGCCGCCGCTGCTGCTGCGCCTGCTGCACTGGCCAATGCCGCCGCTGGCCCTGCCGCCCTTAAAGAGCCATGGCGGCCAGGGGAGGGGACGCTGCTCCGTTCCGCGCCGCGCGGGAGGCTGCTGCGCGCACAGACACTCGCAATACCACTTCTCTCATCGAGGTTCAGGCCGACAATGAGGTGACACCGCCCGCGCGCCGCGCTTATATCCTAACCGCCTGAAGCAAAACAAGATCCGGCCGTGAGGTGTCCTTCCGCCCAGCGTCACCTGCCTCTCTCCAGCGCCCGATGGCCTGTACCCTGTCTCTGTGGGATTATCCCGTTCTATTCTTCCCCAGGTCAAACCCAGGAGCGGCAGAGAAAAGCTGCCCCTCCAAAACAGCGGCGATGGAGGGACTCTATGGTGTACATCCGCGCCTCCGCCCTCTTGCTCCCGCCAGAATCACGTGACCAGAGCAGTTGAGGACGCTCCTGGGAGGTCGGGGGGGATGAGGGGGGCTGATAGGAGGTCGCATGCACCCCGCCACGTGGGAAGGGGTCCTCTCCATTGGCTAGAGGCTAGTTGTTCACGTGCACGCAGAGCTGCTATTGGCCAGGGTCCAGAGGAAGACAGGTGTGGGGGGGGGCAAAGAGAGAAGGGAGTCGTACGGGGGTAGGGAAATGGCGTTGAGGAGACATGGCTGGGAGCTGTCAGTGCGCCCATCACCGCAGCCCTGCGCCTTCGCTAACGTGTCGCGTGCGAAGCACTATACGTGTGTGTGTGTGTGTGTGTGTGTCCCTTAGGTTTCCAACAGCCCCTTTTGTTCTCTGCCCAGAGTCCTGCTGAGGTGAGGCTGGGGCTGACAGCTGCTGCTCAGGCCAAGGCGCTGGCATGGCTCCCCTGATGTGCTGAGGGAGGCAGTGGGCGCCATGGCCTCTTGCTCCACCAGATAACGTGTCAGCCCAGGGCAGCATCGCCTTCCCTCCCTGCCTGCCTCACACGTGCAGCACTTCGATTATGGCTGTTTCAGGGTACAGGCTGTGTGTTCGCCTGTGTGAGGGTGCCTCTCAGCTGCCATGGCGCAGTTCTGACCTGGAGCGGTCATGCAGATAGATCCGTGCTCCTGAGCAGCTGAGAGCATGAGTCTAATTAATGCCTTTAATCATGCAAATGCTGAAAAATGAAGTTGCTGTTCCCCAGAATTTCCGAATTCCCCTCCTGCCACACAGTTTCACACTGACACAGTTGCTGCTTTGTTCAGACATTACTCAGACTGATGCGAGCATTAATGGATAACCTACATAGCTTCACAGCTCTAAAGAGCAGTGTCACTTAGGAAAGTTTTTAAAGCGCAGTTTCACATTATGTTTTATCTGATCTAAATCAGCATGATGCTAGGAAAGAAGGCAACATTCTCCGTTCCTGTTCCTGTCTGCTCTGTGAGATCTGCCTCAGTGAGCCAGCTCAGCCAGCTAACCCAGCAGGAAACTCACAGGAGTCAACAGTTCTCTGCTGGTTTCAGTCCCTTCATCATTTCCCTGAGGTCAGTCAAGCATCGGTTAGCTTCAGTGATGGGTACCTGTGTGCTTCCTTACTATGTCAGAGTTATGCAGCTTCAAACAGTTGCTTTCCCATGTTCCCAACCAGCACACTGTCACCTCTGAGTGCTGTGGTCAGCCCTCGCTTGTTCAAACATTACCGTCCTGCAGGTCACCTTGCTCTCACCTACTTCTACGAAAGGCTCCTCTATTTTCCAGTTAGGCCCTCGGTAGTATTTGTATAAAGCCATGGCCTTCACTGAGTTTGCTCAGGTGTAACTGCCTGGAACTCATTAAACAACTTGGCTGATAATTTGTGAGGACAGGCATGACCCAGTTTTTACTTTTAGCAGGCTGATGTTACCATCAGCACTACAAAGCAGAGTCTGTCACTCACATCAGTAAGCTGAACACCACTGCTGAATGAAAAAGGCAGGTTTTCCTCCATGTTGCTTAGTAGTTTGTTTTTTGGTTTGTTTTTTTTTCTTGGTTTATTTTTTGTCTAGATGCAAGCACAGATTTTGGAATGACTCATTAAAATGGAGGAGGCAGGGAAAAATGTCCTCCAACGCCAGAAAATACCAGAGTAGCAACTGAGCGATCTAAGATGACTGTTCTGATTAGATACACCACAGAGCAGACATACCTTGCTTCAAAGCAAAGTTTAGAGGACGCAACAGCTTTTAAAGAAGCCAAGTGGGTGATTGGATGGGTGGACAGCATCTCCCTGTCCTCACTAGCTGAGGGAGAGCTTTCACATCCCCAGGTCTCGCCTGCTTGCCACTGCTTTAAGTGAAAAGGGTGATTGTACAACTGTAATCATAGCTAAATAAACAGAAATGCTATACACACCCAAGCCTTCATCTTGTAAAGATAATTATAGATTTCTCTGAAAGGACTCTGGGTATGTGTGAGCAAGAATCACGCAAGCAAAAAAGGGAATATGCAATGAGGAACTTAGCCCAGATCTGCCGGTTTCCTTGCTGTGTGGTTTTCATTTTCTGTGTAGACTTTAGTGGAAATTTGTCTGCATTTTTAACGATCTCCAATCCAAAAAGCAAAATCAAGTAACCAGAAGCCAGCCATTTAGTGAACAGCATATTTCCGTGTTTTCTGAACGACTGCAGAATTACTGTTGCTACATCATTTCACGAGCATGAATTTTCATTTCAACTGCAATTCCTTTATAAATCGTCTCTCTGCATTTGCACATATTAAGTCAGAGGTTTCTCCTTTGTGGTTAGGGTTTTTCACTGAGGTAGAACATACTTCCTTAAACCCAAGTAACAATTCCTTGGGAATTTTTGTTGAAATATTTGTAGGGTTTTTTTATACAAGAAAAAATCGACAAGTATTTCTAAGCAGAGAGCCCACTGCTAACTTAAGTGTCTAAAAAGTATTCCTTTTCAGCATTACAGAATATATTTGTAGCTTGAAGGTCAAGAAGCCTGGCAGCTCCGAAGAAAATTGAATTTACAGTGAAAAAAGGTAGCTTCTGAAGAAAGATTAATTTATGTGCATGGTCAGTGAACTCCTGCTGACATGTTAACAGCTTTAGCACTGTGGATGTTATTTTCCTGCCCTGGCTACTGTACGTCGGCAAAGAGAGCTGGTGTGATAAGTGAGATCCAGTCTGACCCAGAAGCGAGGGGCCAGCCGCAGGAGATAGGAGCGCCTAGTACAGAGCTCACTGCAGGAGAGAGGCCAAAGTGACCTTGATGGGGAGCAATGAACCGCCCTGATAAGTGCAGCACTGCAGAAAGCCACTTCCAGCCAAACAGCAGCACCAGGAGGTGGAACAATCCTCCTCCATTCACCCTTCTCTTTCATTAAGATGAAGGTCAATATATGGGTTTGTTGGGGTTTTGGTTTTTTTAAGTTAATGTGGCAAAGGAGAAGAGGTTTTCTTCTTCCACCAGCAACTATACAGGAGATAAACACGCTGAATACTATGTTATTAAGTGCACAAAAGACAAGGAAGACGTCAGTGTTTCCATAGTAACATCTCCTCACTCAGTCTAGATCGCCTGGATATGATGCTCACAGGGGGTGTCAAGGGGGGGAAGTAGTCATGGGCCTCTGTAGCAGGGGATTGAGGTGGGGGCAGTACATATTGCTGGGGCCAGGAAGGTAACCAGCAGAAGTAGCAGAGATGGAGATGTCTTTTCTTTCCTGGAGTGCTGGGAGAGCTGCAGCTGGGGAGGAGGGCTGGCAGACACTGCATCATGAGGGCACATCACTCCATGGTGGCACTGGGCAGGCAGCTCTGGGGCCCCACTGAGCCTCGGTGTGCTGGAGAAGGGTCAGATGGGCTTTTGGCCAGCCCTGGGCCCTGCTGGTGTGGCTGGGGAGGAGGGAGCATTGCCTGCTTTGCAGAAGGATGAGTGTGAGGCGAGTCCCGAGGGGATTCTTGTGATAATTTCTATTGTTAGAACCTTCCATCAGAAAGGACAGGAAGCCTCAGTGAGGAGAGCATTTCCAGAGACCAGCAGGAATTTTTCCTGGAGACGGAGAGCTGAGGAAACACAAGGGAGGAATGAGGCAAAGCAGCTAGACACTGAACAATTTTCAGGGAGAGTTACCTACAGCCTCTACAGCACAGGCTAATCGCAGTGCTAGGCTGCTTCTCTCCTCATGTGGCACAAACAAATATCTGAAGGATCTTTTCTGCCAGATTCTCATACCAAGCTCTTTAGGGATTGCTTTATAGATGTTCCATTTTAAAACTGGATTGAAAAGGGAATATATGTGATTAAAGATCAGGCTGGGAGGTATTAGCGTCCATCTCTGATTACACGCAAACAGAAAATAAGTTAACCATATGCTCTACCTCGTTTGTTTTGGACTAGTACACTAAATGGAATCTCTAATAAGTCATTCTTTGCTTACCCACCCCCTCACTGTCTTCTCCTTCTGTCCTGTTGTGTAAATATCACTGACATTTGAAATGAGACTAATAAAAAAAAGGATTAAATTTGCAATTTACTTTTGCAACTTACAGTTCAATTATTTTAGTCAGCTATGGAAATAATCCTCGTTGTCCACCTACATTTTTCTTACTGAACAAATGCAGGCATGCCAAGCACATGGTGCTAGCTCACAAAATACAGCTCTCCAGAGGCTTTGTTACTCAGAATTGGCTAGGCTGTGGCCAGCTGCCAGAAGTAAAAACATTGTGCAAATCTGGTAAGAGGGAGGTGAGTTTTAACTTGTAACTTGCCTAAGCATGAATTTCCTGAACAAAGCTACAACTGGTTGAAAATTATGTTTAACAAAATATATGTGCAAGGGGAGGGAGGAGGGGGGATGGCTTTTGTTCCAACCATCGGGGGATTTTTTTGTTACTTCATTGTCCAGCCTTGTTTTATGATGATGAAAGGACTTGGGGGTCAAGTACAATCCCACATGTGTATGAGCACACGTGGGATACAAACAAAAGCCTTCCAGTTGTCCAAGCAATAAAAGAACGGAAACACCTCATGTCAACTGTTGTTCTTCACAGAGCTGTAGTTTCTGTGACCCCCACTGCAGGCTCTGTTCAGTGCATATAAAAATGTCTGTATCTGTATGTTTTGAGCATCTGCTGGAGTTGCACATGGCAGGTGCCTTAAAATCGTAGAATCATAGAATGGTTTGGGTTGGAAAAGACCTTAAGACCATCCAGTTCCAGCCCCCCTGCCATGGGCAGGAACACCTCACACTAAACCATGCTGCCCAAGGCTCTGTCCAGCCTGGCCTTGAACACCACCAGGGATGGAGCATTCACAATTTCCTTGGGCAACCCATCCTAGT